TTCCCAACCCAGCGGGTCTTCCCAAACCAACGGGGTCTTCCCAAATCGCGCCCCGGGTCTTCCCAAACCAACCGGGTCTTCATAAACCAACCAGGTCTTCCCAAGCCAATTTCCCGGTCACCCTGACCAGGCTTGGGAAGCCCTGGGCCTCCACCTTCCGTACTATCCGTGTGGCCTGTACGGATGCTAAATCAGGTCCTTGTTTGTCCCTTTTCGTCCTTCACAGCCCTCCCTTGTCCTTGTTTGTCCCTGTTTGTCCGTGTTTCTCCCTGAAGTCCTTGTTTGTCATGTTTTGATGGGCGTGGTCGCTTGAGGACTCGATTGGTTGGCTGGTCGGTTGGTTGGTAATGGGCCTGGGATGTGTTGACGGTCTCGTGTTGTCGTGTTGTCGTGTTGCCGTGTGCGTGTAGTTGTTGGTTGTTGTGCGACGTGTTGTCGTGTTGTCGGATTCATAATTCCATGCAGTGCTGCATACGCGACATGCTGTTATGTGATCGTGCTCATTTGTTGGCATGTCCATGGTGGGATCATGCACGCTGTGAGCTCAGCATGTTTCGTATGGTTCGCATGGTTTGCTCTTTGCTGCGGTTTCTTCAACTGGGTATTTTTTTGTCTGATCGCAGCTGGAATATTCATATGATTAATGAATTCATGCAGTTGTGAAGAAAACAAAAGAAACGTAGAGGTTTACACATGACATCTCAATGAGGCCTTGACAAATCTGATTTGTAACGGTCCAGGATATCCAATGTTTCGTCGTGGCCGGCGTGGAAGGTTCCCAGCAGCGGCGTGGATTTTTCGAGCTTCGGAATGGTAGGGCGTGATGTCCGCGAATTTGTGCTTCAGTGGGGTCCAATGTCCGCGCTTTCGGGCCCCATGCAGGGCCCAATGTCCACGGTTCTGGGGCCGAGCACAAAAACACATGGAACAACGCAAAAACAAATCTCTGAGTTTCCACAAGTTGTTTGGAGTTATTCCCAACCCTCCTGCGTTGGGTACTCGCTTTGAATAGAGCACTGCGGTCTCCGTTCTCCTCCTCCCGCCCCCCCCTCTCTTCCCTCGTCCTCTCCTCTCTTGCTTGCCTTCTCCTCCTCTCTTCGCTCCTCCTCTTCTCTTCTCTTCTCTTGCCTTTCACGTCATCCCTGGCGGGCTGCGATCTGCGGAACTGTCACCACTTTCGAGGGCTGCTGGTGGGTCCAGCGGAGTGAGGCACCACGGGGACTCAGATTAGACCTCGCCATCCCTGGGGGGGGGGCTGCGATCTGTGAAACTGTCGCCACTTTCGAGGGTTGCTGGTGGGTCCAGCGGAGTGAGGCACCACGGGGACTCAGATTAGACCTCGCCATCTCTGGGGGGGGGCTGCGATCTGTGAAACTGTCACCACTTTCGAGGGCTGCTGGTGGGTCCAGCGGAGTGAGGCACCACGGGGACTCAGATTAGACCTCGCCATCTCTGGGGGGCTGCGATCTGTGAAACTGTCGCCACTTTCGAGGGCTGCTGGTGGGTCCAGCGGAGTGAGGCACCACGGGGACTCAGATTAGACCTCGCCATCTCTGGGGGGCTGCGATCTGTGAAACTGTCGCCACTTTCGAGGGTTGCTGGTGGGTCCAGCGGAGTGAGGCACCACGGGGACTCAGATTAGACCTCGCCATCCCTGTGTGAAACTGTCGCCACTTTCGAGGCTGCTGGTGGGTCCAGCGGAGTGCACCACGGGGACTCAGATTAGACCTCGCCACCCCTGGGCGGCTGCGATCTGTGAAACTGTCGCCACTTTCGAGGTCTGCTGGTGGGTGGGCAGCGGAGTGAGGCACCACGGGGATTCAGATTCTGACCACGAGCAATGCTCGCGTGCCCTTGCTCTGCGGTTCGTGCCACGTGGCGCTGCCTTTCGAGCTGGCGGTCGTCCTTCGGACCCGCAGAAACGTCTGCTGAGCTCGATGAGCTAGGGGAACTACAGGAAAGAAATGCAGGAAACGGAGGCCGCTCATGCACTCGCCGATACCTCGTTGCTCTGTCATCGTCTTTGCTGTTGCATGATCCTTATCCCGCGGCTCGAACTGGCGGTCGCCCTTCGGGCCCGCGGGAACATCTTCTGAGGCAAGTGGACGCCGCCGCCTTACTTGCAGGCAGCGCATTGCACTCGCGGACAGCAGCATGGCAGACCGCATTGAGATCCTCAGTCGCGTGGTGTTGCCAAGCCTGGTGGAGACGCGCGTGATCGACCTGAAGTCCCAATCGCGCGTGCGCTGTACCTGCGTGGCGTTCAGGCACGCGCGTGATGCTGCTCGCTCCGCGTTCAACCAGTACGTCGCCAGTGCAACTTTGGACGATGGACAACCGATTGATGATGCGCGACCCCGGCCTTGAGTTTCTTTCCCGCGGGCCGCCCGCAGACCTGGCGGCGCGCCTGCGAGCGTTCAGCTCCCGCGCTGAAATGTGCGGGAAGGAGGCGGATAAGCTAGCGGGCGAGCTACGCCTCGCTCGTTCCTTGCACTCTAAACAAGTTTTATCATGTGGAACTCTGCGACGACATGGCGCAGGCAGCGCTGCGGGTTTAGCTCGCACTTGAAAAACGCGGCAGTCTTCTGTCTCCTCCCGCCACTTCATCGTCGTCCTATTCCCCGCCTCACCTTCTCCATGCATGCTGCTGCTTCCGCGATGGCCCCCCCCCCCCCCCCGCCCTCCATTCCATCCTTCTCCTACCCCTCGTTCCCGTACCCGTTCTTCTTCGATCCTGGGGCCTCAAGCCTCGTTCTTTCGATCGTCGTCCTGTGAATCGTGCAACGCATGCGCATCCCATGTAGCCTGCACAGCAAATCGCCGCGTCTACACTGTCGCTGTTCCTGTTAATGTTGGCAGACTCCTCTTGCCATTTGATGCACGTGGGTTGGGTACGTCGCAGGGTAATTTTCGTAGGAAAAAGCAAGTGTCCTCGGTTGTGGGCCTTGTTGGGCCAAATGTCCCTGGATTTTGGGCTCTTGGGGAGAAGATGTCCGCCGATTTGGGCCGCGGTAGGTCCCCGATGTCCCCACTGACCCCCCCCAGGCCCCCGATGTCCGGCTGCCAGGTGTGTTTCCTTCCAGGTAGTCACGTTGCCTCGTTCTTTTGCGACGTCTGGACTTGGGCAATGTTAGTGCTAGTTGTCCACTGTGCGACTGTCCACTATCCGAGCAAGTTGTGCGTGCTCTGTCGGAGTTGTCGATGGAATTGACCCGTATTTGGTCATTGTTTTGTTGCCTCGTTCCCGTGTGGGTATCGTCGCTCTCGACGGTTTCGTAGTATCGTTCCCGAGTCACGTGGTGGTGGGCTTGGTCGCCTATTTGTTACAGCGTTTGTTGTGCCCCAACAGCCAACACGGCGCCTTGTCCCTCGTTGTTCCCCAAATTGCCTCATTGCCGCAATGCCCCCCTCTCCCATTCCGTTGAGGCGCGGTTCACCCTTGCGTGGTCCGCGCTCATTGCTCGATGTCATGCGTTTTTATATCGCTGTCTCCCTCGTCTCCGCGTTCCCTTCTGGATCCGGGCCCAGAGCGAGGTGCGCGTCCCTTGCCGGCTTCGTGCCCTCGTGGCCCTTGTCGGCATCACAAAGTCTCGATCAGTCGCCCCGGTGCCCTTGTGGCCCTGGTGGCTTCGGACCCGGCGCAAGTGGTGCGCAGCCATTTGGGCCCTCCCTCCGTGGGCCGCCGGCAGTCGCCCTCTCAATTCCCCTTGGGGCGCGCTGCGAGGGAGGATGCCTGCTGGGGTCGGTGCTGGCGGCGCCGAGTCTCCTGGAAGGCAGACTTTCACTTCATCTGTCCAGGAGAGGTGGAGTGCAGAACACACCGCCGCTCCCGCTCCCTCGACCTCCCTTCCCTCCCCCTCATCATCATCATCATCATCATCATCATCATCATCATCATCATCATCATCATCATCATCATCATCATCATCATCATCATCATCATCATCATCATCATCATCATCATTATTATTATCATCATCATCATCATCATCACTATCATCATCATCATCATCATCAACATCACCATCACCATCAGCATCAGCGTCATCGTCAATATCATCGTCATCATCGTCATCATCATCCTCCCGCCCACTGCTCCCCCCCTCCTCCTCTTCCTCCCCCTCCTTTGTTTCTCTTCCCCCTCCTTCGTCCTCACCTCTTCTCCTTCTCCTCCTCCTCTTCGTCTTCACCCTCGGTGTTTTTCTCGGGCCTGGTGACTCCTTTTCTTTGGACTGGGCACTTGCATCACCTTTTGATGGCGTGCCAGAGGATGGCCTCGATGGCCTCGGCCAATCGGACCTCGTGAATGCCTGGTGCACATCTGGCTGGTTTCCAGGTCACACCGAATCTTGCCTAGTTTGCCATACCGCTTTAGTTGGGGACATCCTCTTGCACATTATTGAGTGTTCTATCGTTGAATCCCGCTCTCCTCTCGCTCTTCCCGCGCCTCCCTCCTGCCTGTATTCCTTTTTCCGATGGTCGAATGCATGCGTTTCCACGTTTTGCCGCTTCCCGCCGACCAGCTTTCATCTGCCTTATGCTGATCGGAGATGGTCTGCAGTGTCTACCACTCCTTCAACGTGTCCGGGACTCCCAGAGGAGCTCAGGTTCGCATAGTTGTTCGAGTTCGCTTCGTGCAACGGGTACTGCTTCGGAAGCAGTCTTCCCCTGGCGTCCTTCATTCATTAGCCTTCTGTTGTTCAATCCTTGTTTACCCTCTCCTGGTCGTGTTCGCTGCGTCTGCTTGTCTTTTCTCTCTGGGAGTGGCTTGTCGCTGGCCCACTATGGGATAGAACTCCCACAGTGGCGCCAAAACACATTGTCCGATTACCCCTCCCCGTTTCTTCTCCATCTGATGTTCTCTGACTTCTCTTGTGGCAGAGTTGCTCCTGTAGCAGCGTTGTGAAACAGAGCCCGCGGAGTGTCACAGAGCGTGCAATGCTAATGGTTCCCGCCTGGCCGCATCACTTCGGCCCAAGCGGTTTTTCTCAGGGCGGCGTATGGGAGATTTCGGCTGGGCCACCTTCTCCAAAGCCTCCACCTTCGAGGCTGCCAGCAGCGGATTGCAGGTCTCCCCTTGTGCCCTGGCGCTGTCGACCAGCGCCAACGCCTGCCTCTCCGAGACCGGCGTCTGGGGGGCGCCAGTGCCGCTGGGCGCGGCGGTCGTCGCCAGGGGCCTGGGTGTGCTGCTCGGCGTCCTCGCGGTGCTGCTGGTGCAGGTGACCGTCTGCACGTGCCTGGTGTCGGTGCGGATTGGCCTGTGGGGTCTCTGGAAGACCGCGCCGGCGCCTTCGCGAGCCGAGCGGCAGGAGCAGCTGGCACCCGTCGTGGACGCGCCCGTGCAAGTGCAGCTAGCGCTTCAGCATGCCGGCCAAGTCGCTGGTGCGTCGGGCGCTCAACCTGAAGGCAGGGGACGTAGTGTTCCTCGACTACGGGGAGGCAGAGGAACCGTGGCATGAGAGGCTGATCCTCGCGTCTTTGGGCGGGGCGAGGTACCTGGTGCTGACCCCCGACGAGGACATGTACGAGGAGGAGATCGACACGCGCAGCGTGGCCGACTTCCGGCAGGCGGGCCCGCGGGGCGGCTTGCCGGCCGGCCTTGGAGCAGCCAAGGGCCAGCCGGTCTACCGCTTCACGGAGCGGCCGCGCGGCGTTGCTTTGCAGTCGTGGATCGACGCGGCGGAGGAGCAGGCCGTGGAGCTGCGCGCGGCGCGGGGGCTCGCCGAGGAGCCTGAGCCTCCGCCCTTGGCTGACGGGGGCGCGCCCTCGGGGGCGGGCGCCGCGGGCTCCGGCTCGACTGGCGAGCGGGCCGACTGGGTTTGCGTGGTCCCCGAGGGCGACGTCAGGCGGGGCGCGGTGCACTCGCTCCCGGACTCGCTCGACACGCCGTCGGAGGACTTCGTGGCGTTCGGGCAGCACGGGCTCTACGACCTGGGCCGCGGCAGGTCGGCGGTCCTGGTCAGGCTGGCGCCGGGCGAGACCGCGGACGAGGCCTTGCGGACCTTCGTGGCGTCCGCGGTGCCGGACGCCGTCGGGGGGACGCGGACGCCGCCACCCGCCGAGGACGCCCGCACGCTGGCCATCAAGCGGGACGCGGCCGGCCGCCGCTTTCGGGATCTGAAGAGTGTGTCGGACTCGTCGGAGCAGTGTGAGTTCGAGGACTGGGCGCTGTCGGGCCCCCGCACTGCCTCGTACGTGGTGAAGGAGATTGCCAAGCAAAGCGGGGGCCCGGTCCAGCGTCACACCACGTGGAAGCACGAGAACAAGCTCAACGATGACGAGCATAGCGTGGTGGCCCACGAGATGCTGTCGGAGATTTTGGAGTTGGCTTGCACCTACGACCAGGTCGACGTGGCCAACCTGGCGAGCATGGAGGCGCTCGCGAGGCACCTGCAGTTCCTGGAGCACAAGGTCAAGAAGAAGAAGGAGACGATCAAGGATTTCGACTCCCAGGACTACTACCTGGGACGCACCAGGAGGACGGGCGGGGCTATCATCAGCCCGGAGCTGCTGAAGTGGGTCGCGGAGTCCGCGGCCCGGGACTCGGCCATCTTGAAGGAGGAGCGCAAAGCTGCGGAGGAGCGTGCTCTGGCGCGCGCTCCTCCGAAGAAGTCATGATGGGCTTCGAGGCTGGGAGTTGGCCGTACCCAGCTGGTGCCACCAGGCCGCTGGAGCGCATGGTGCCGAGGGATCTGCTGCCCTTGCCCTTGGTGCCTGTGCCGCCGGCTCGGGGCGCGCGGGCGTTGCCGCGCCGCTCCGCCCAGAGGATCGGCCGCGGGTCTGCTGTGGGCCGCCGTGTGAACGACTGCATCGCCGCCCTGAACAACTTGCACGGGGAGGGCGACTTTTGCTCGAAGGCCCGTCCTTCGGAGGCACAATTTTCTGCCGTGGACATGCTCTGGCAGGCCGCGTCGGACGACAAGCCGCCGGACGACGCCCCCAGCCCCGAGGCAGCCCTCGTGGAGCTGCTCGGCATGGGTAGTCTGGGCTATGGCCCCGACGGCCCCACTGTGGTTGCGCCGTATGATCGCGGCTTGGTTTCGTGGCCTGAGTCGGCGGGCTGCGTCAGCTTGCTGGAGGTGCTGCCGGAGCCAGACCGCCAGGAGGTGATCGACGGTAGGAATTCGATGATGCTTCGCGCTGAAGAGGTTCGCCCAGGCGCCACCAAGGTGTACTGGGATAAGACCTTGCAATCCGACACAGACGAGTACCAGCGGTTCGTGCAGGACCTGCTGGCCCGCGACATGGTGGAGCTGCGGACTCGTCGCGATTTTGAAGTGGGAGTCTTCTTTGTGAAGAAGAAGTCGGGCCGCCTGAGGCTCATTGTGGACGCTCGGGCTGTCAACCAGGCGCTGAAGCGGCCGCCGACGATTCACATGGCGTCCACCGCGGCGCTAGTGAACATGGAGGTCGAGGACGGCGCCCAGCTGGAGTTCTCGATCCAGGACATCGCGGACTGCTTCTACCAGTTCCGCGTGCCGGACTACATGGTGCCGTGGTTCGGCATGCGCCCGCTCAGAGCGAGGCAGCTGGGCGTGAAGGTGGTCGACGGCCTCGCGGTCTCAGAGGGGTCGTGGGTCTACCCGTGCCTGCGGGTGCTGCCCATGGGCTTCGCGTGGGCCATGCGCTGGACGCAGCAGGCGCACCGCGAGCTGCTGCGGCGGGGAGGTCTCGGTGGCATCGAGAACGAGCTGGTGGACAGGCAGATCGCTCCGAGCGTGGACTCTCCTCAGGTGCCGAGGGTCGTCTACGTGGACAACGAGATCTTCGTCTCGTCGCGACCGGGCGCCACCCGGGGTGCGAGGAGGCAGGCAGCCAAGGTGATGACCGAGGCCGGGCTGCCACTGCACGAGGTCGAGGAGAGCAAGACGGTCGTGGAGGCGCTGGACCTGGAGCTGGACGGCCTCAAGCTGCGGGCCCGGCTGGCGCGGGCCAAGCGCTGGAGGCTCGGGCTGGGCACCCAGGCGCTCCTGCGGCGCCGGCGCGTGGCTGGCCGGGAGGTCGAGCAGATGATCGGCCACTTCACGCATGCCATGCTGCTGAATCGCCCCGCTCTGTGCGTCTTCCGGGCGGCCTACGACTTCGCCCGGAAGCACTACAGGGTGCCCGTGCCGCTCTGGCCCTCGGCGCGGCAGGAGCTAGCCAACGCGCTGCACCTCATGCCGCTGCTGGCCGTCCAGTTCGATCTGCCGTGGTCCGGGCGCGTCACCTGCTCCGATGCTACGCTGCGCGGCTATGCGGTGCAGGAGGCCGACGTGGAGCCGCCAGCCGTGCGGGAGGTCGGGCGCTGGAGTGAGCGCTGGCGCTTTCGCATCCAGTCAGCCTTGCGCCCGCGCGAGGCAGCTCTGCTCGAGCGCCCGGGTGAGTGTCTACACGAGCGACCTCTACCTCCTCCTCCGCCGGGGCTCCCAGGTGCTGACCCCATGGTGCCCCAAGGTTTACATCATGTACACCCAGCTCTGCCTCTACGGGTTCCTGAAGGCCTCAGTGGTGCCCCTCGTCGTCAAGTGCTTCGGGATCTACCTCTGGCTGGGGCTCCTGGGGCCGCCGGGGCCGCTGCTGAGGGCTACTTGGGCGAGGAGTCAGGTTATCCAGCAGGTTTCCTAGGAGACCTCATCGACGGGGACGTGGACATCAGCATCAATCGGGAGTTCCCGGAGATCCCCAAGGGGTTCATCAGCGAGGGCTCGTGGAGGACCATCCAGGCAAGAAGATATCATAGGAGAGAGGCCATCCATCTTAAGGAGCTCAGGGCCGTGCTGTTCGGGTGGAGGCGTAAGTGTCGTCAAGCTAGATACCATCGTCATCGCCACTTATTTCTGTGTGACAACATGGGTATGGTCCTGAGCCTCGAGAAGGGCCGAGCGGTGTCATTTCCGGTGCTGGTTCTGCTCAGAAAGTGGGCCGCCTTGTCGCTGGCCTCCTTCTCTCGCACCAGCGTGCGCTGGGTGGCCAGCGAGCTCAACCCAGCTGATGAGCCTAGCCGATGGTTCGACTCGCCTGCTGAGAAGGCGGCTGCTGCTGCGCTGGACGCCTGGCGACGCCGGCCCGCTGGAGAGGCCGCCGAGGCTTGCTCGAGCGCTTCCCGAGAGGGATGGTGCGCGCGGGCTTGGCAGCCCCCCTCGCGAGAGGGTGCTGCGGAGGAGCGGCGCCTCGTCAGAGAGCCACAGGCTGCCGCCCCGCCGTCTGCCTGTCCCAGCCCCTGTGGTCAGAGCGGCAGCGGGCCAGGCATCCTCGACCGAGCGGCGGCTGCTTTCATCGACGAGGTCTCGCCGATCCCGTGTGCCCCGCCGCGGCCGCCCTCCCCCGCCAGCGTTCGCGCGAGCGATAGAGGCGGCGAGGGCGCGGCCGGTCGGGACTGGTGGACTCACGACGCTGGAGCAGGAGAGCATCACCCAGAAGACGAGGCAGGACTACGCGAGGAGGCTGGAGCGGTTCGACGTCTTCTGCAAGACCCACGGACTCACCACGGCGAGCGACGTCGAGCTGGAGGAGGCCGTGGTGGAGTACATGGAGCTGCAGTTCAGCCGGGGGGAGCCGTCGAACAGCGGGGCCAAGCTGCTGGCCGCGATAGGGCATCGCGACCCAAGGCTGCACCACGCGGGCAGGCTGCTGAAGCTGCCCCGCGTGGCGAGGGCGCTGCAGGGCTGGCGGAGGCTGGTGCCGCCGCTGACGCGGGCGCCCGCGCCTTGGGCGGCGGTGGCAGCCATCGCGGTGGCCCTGATCTACCTCGGCCAGCGACGCGCGGCCCTCGGCGTGGTGCTCGCGGCGGACGCCTACCTGCGCCCAGGGGAGCTGCTGACCCTCAGGGCGGACCACGTGGTGCCGGCGCAGCCGCATGCCGGGGGGGACTACTGCTTCACGTCCCTGGTGCTGAGGCCCGAGGAGGAGCTGCAGTCCACCAAGACCAGGGGCTTCAACGACTCGATCCTGCTCGACAGCCCCGCAAGGTCTTTTCTCGGGCCCCTGCTGGAGCAGGTCGCTTTCCAGTCGCAGCCGATGGAGCTCCTCTTTCCGTGGTCGGGCGCGGCCTTCAATGCCATGTTCAAGGAGGCAGCCGCGCTCGTCGGGCTCGAGAGCTGGGAGTTGACGCCGTACATCCTTCGCCACTCCGGGCCGTCTCACGATTGGCTCATCAAGGCAAGGAGCTTGGAGGCCATCAAGCGCCGAGGCCGCTGGGCGTCCGACCTCAGCGTCAGGCGCTACGAGAAGGGCTCCAGGGTGATGCGCCGCCTGGCCTCGCTCGACCGCGGCCGGCAGCTGCTGCTGGCCGAGGCCGACCGACTGCTCGAGGGCGCCCTGAAGGACGGGCGCATCAACGGCTTCGCGCGGCTGCTCCAGGACGTGGGCCTCGGGTGACTTCGTGTGAGCTTAGGGCGCGTGCCAGGCCGTTAGTTTTGGAGCTTTTCTCGGGAAAAGGATGGCTCTCGGCTTCGTTGCAGCAGCGGGGCTGGAGGGCCCGCACTTGGGGCATCAGAGATAGTGCCTCACAGGACTTGAGCAAGGAAAAATCCATTCGTGCGGTGCTAAAGCTTGTGCCGCAGGCCAGATGGGTCCACCTTGGCACACCGTGCGCAAGTTTTTCAGGAGCGCGCCGAGGCAAGCCGGGCTCTCCAGGTGGCCCGCTGCGCTCCTGCCAGTATCCCTGCGGTCTCCCGAACCTTTCAGAAGTTGACGCCGAAAAGGTGCGGATGGGCAATCGGCTGCTGCGAACCACAATTCGTATCATCAGAGCCTGCGTCCGCCATCAAGTGCCAGTGTCCTTGGAAAATCCGCGTAGGTCCTGGCTGTGGAGGCAGCCCGGACTGGCATGTCTGTTGCGCCATGCGTCTCTCACGCACACAGTCTATTGTAGATATGGAATGCCGTGGCGGAAAGAGACCACCCTAGCGTGCTGGACGACAAAAGAGAATTGTTGTCGCCGCTCGCCGCTCAGTGTGCCGGTGCCGTCTGTGTTTTTTCCAAGAAACCACGCCAAGTTCTCGAGGGTAAGGCTCCCGGAGGCCGCCTGTGGACACAAGTCGCCGAGCCCTACCCGCCCCGTTTGCTGCAGCGCTGGTCGCAACTGATTCATGAGTCGCTTTTGGAGAAGGGGCCGCCTCAACCGCCAGAACGCGTATAGTGGCGGTTGTTGGCAAGATTGGAGCTAGCTCGAAGATGCTGGCTCGCGTTCGGTCGCATTCGAGGCGCATGCTGCCCTGCGAGAATCATCCGTTCTGGCCTCAGGAAATATATGCATGTAGCAGCGTTGTGAAACAGAGCCCGCGGAGTGTCACAGAGCGTGCAATGCTAATGGTTCCCGCCTGGCCGCATCACTTCGGCCCAAGCGGTTTTTCTCAGGCCCTAAGCCATCCCACTGCGTGCCTATTCAGTCTAGATGTATATCTAGTGCGTAAGCTGCGGCAAGATTGGAGCTAGCTCGAAGATGCTGGCTCGCGTTCGGTCGCATTCGAGTTGCACGCTGCCCTGCGAGAATCATCCGTTCTGGCCTCAGGAAATATATGCATCCTCTTCCTCTCCTTCCCTCGCGCTTATTGAACAATCTCGGGTACCTGCCCACGCGATCCATCCACCTTCCACGCTTATTGTCGGCAGCGAGCCCGGGGGGGAAGTGAGAAGGGGCGGGCCTTCTCAGGAGGCTTGGCAAAAACATATCAGAAGGCTTGAGGGCCTGTGAGTAGTCCCGCAGCCTTCTGATAAGGCTTCCTGCTTGTCACTTCACTCCCTCGCTCGCCGCCGATGTTGAGCATGTTCGGAGCGCGTAGCAATTTCTTTCCGTGGCCAGTTCCTTTCCGATCTTCCTCGGTCGCCTGTGGGAGGGAGCGGGCGCAAGACTAGCCAGAGCTGCACGAGAGGCTCGCACCGAGATGCTTACCTGGTGCCCCGTCTCGCGACGGGGGGTGGGAAATTTCTGGGACACGGCCCACGCTCGAGCGTCAGCTTCGAATCATCGGGGATAAAAGAACGGCTAACCCTGATAAGATAGTGAAGGTATGGCCTCACTGAGGTCCCCCTCTTTGCATCATGGACAATCGATCTGGGCGGTTTGGTCCGGTACATCTGCAGAAGCGACCCCCAGAACCGTAATTTGTGTGGCATCCTAACTTAGGTCGCCTCCCAAAGGGTTGGGGGTCCTTTGCTGCTAATCATCCAGGGCCGCCGAAGTCTCACCCCCAAGCTTAGTCTCGGCCCCCCGCCTGCCAGGAATGCCCGCGGGTGCCGCCGTCGGGAGCGGGGGTGTCATCTCGAGCAATGATCAGCTCAGGCCCGAAGGCAGCCCGCGTCAGGCCCCAGGGCTCACGAAGAGCGGCCCATGGCGCGAAGTCCATGCAAGAGTGCTGGGGTCGAGAGGTTCGGGGAGCCCGCGGATCTGAAACGCGTCAGGGCGTCGGATGTCTTGTGCGGTTCTGGTGATGGGACAACGGCCACGGCTGCGCACGTGGTTCAGCAGATCTACCAGAGAGCCGACAGCACATGTATGGCATAGCGACCATCGAGGGTACATTGTCCCCTCGGCTATTCATTTTTTGTTGAGAATTGGCTCTTGGGCTTCGCAGCAGAAGGGACTCGCAGCCGAAGGAGCTCGAGCGCCAGCCGAGCTGCGGTGCAGGTGAGCAGGCGGAGAGTCGATTCGGCAAAGGAGCCTTTTCTGGTGCAGCCACGCGCATAGGGGGCTGGGCGTAGGGGGGAGTGCTTCTTAGAAGGACACCTGCTTCGTAGAAGGCGCGGGCATCATCTCTAGATGTAGGGTCAGCGCCTTCTGAGAAACAGCCTCTTTCTAAGAGGCGTCCTCCCTTCCCCTTACCCCCTTGTGCGCGCCGCTAAGAGTTCACAGTGCAGAGGTGTTTGGCGAAACCGTCCTGGATCCGTTCGATGTCGGGCGCAGCAATCGGCATCTCTCAGGTTTGGGCTTGTCGCAGCATGGTCTTCGGCACCGGAGAGTCACCTCCAGAGGCTTCTGGGGAATTTGGAGGTCTGATTACCTGTGCACCCTGCCTTTTTCGCTGTATCACTCTTCAGCATCGCGAGTGCGTGTTTGGCGTTCCCACTCAGCGTCTGTCGGATTCCATCCGCCCGCGTTCCTCCTCTTCTGTCCTCTTCCTCCTCCTCCTCCTCCTCCTCCTCCTCCTCTTTCCTCTTCCCCCTCTGCCCGAGTCCGTGACCTGCTACAGGTAGTTTGCCTTGAGCTCGGCACCACCAGGCTCCGTCGCGCTGTCATTACCATCAGCTTTCCCCCCTTCCCCCCCAACAAATTGCGCTGAAGGAGCACAGAGTCCGCAGTCTCACTCTGAATGTGTCCACTTTGTCCATGTCCTCATTGCGCGCACGCCTAAGCGTGAGTGGCCCCAGAGGCGGAGCGCAGAGCACCCACAACGGAACAGCTCACAGGCATGGGCATGAGAGGACGCCGTCCCCTCAGAGCCCAGCGCCTTCGGAAACGCCGCGAGCGAGATGTGTGTGCCCAGACCTCCCAGATGGCATCAGAGTAGGTCGGGTCGGAGGATCGCGCCGCATTGGGGATGCATCGGTGATGCGGCGAGATGTGGAGCCAGGTTCGCTACATCACGAAGGCGCCGATGCAGCGCAGACGTCGCCGATGCATCGGCGATGCTGCGCGATCCTCGGGCCCCACCTGCTCGGACCCCACTTGTCACTGCTCGGGCCCCACTTGTCCCCACCCACCAAACCACCCCAACCCAACCCGACGGCCCCAACTTGCCCTCGAATCCCAGTGTATATCCGAGAAGATTGAACAAGCAGATCTAGTGCGTTGCCGAGGACGAGCGGCCGAATACCCTGGAGGCGATCGAGCGGCGCCTGCAGGCGCTGGACGGGGTACCGGCGCAGCTGGGGGCGCTGCTGGAGGCGGTGCTCCAGGTGCAGGCGCAGCTCGGGAGGCTGGCCCCTGGAGGAAGGTCTCAGCATCGCTTCACCTATCACCATCCCCACTGGACCACGGCATCTCTAGATGCTCGTTGGGGGGGCCTTCCTGGGGACCACCTATCGAATATGTTCTACTTGAGTTCGACTCTGGTTCGACTCTAGCTCGACTCAAGTTCGACTCAAGCTCGACCCAAGTTCGACTCAGCCTCGACTCCAGTTCGACTCAAGCCGATGGACGTTCGACGTATCGTCAACGCAGCTCCAGGAAGGTCCCGAGAACGAGCATCTAAGTATCTCAGCCCCACCAGCCCACCCTCCTAGGGCGGGATACGCCACGCGAAACTCGACGGAGCAGGCGCATATCCCCACCCAGATAGGTACGTCGGCCAGTGCGGCCAAGGCCACGCCAGTGGGGATAGGGATCGACTGCACGATGCTCAAGGTCGACGCCGCCACCTTCAGAGGGCACTCCGGCCCAGCTCGCGCAGCCTGGGCCGCCGCAGCCTGAGCGAGCGGGCGCCCTCGACCGGAGGGCGCGGAAGACGGTGCTCAGGGGCTCTGTGATCTTGGCGTCCTGATTTTTGTTCACATTGGGCGATGTTGTCTTGTATCGGACCCCAGGACCCTCACGGATCGATTCAACTCGGTCGAAGAATGCCCCAGAAAGGCGAAGTTTAGGGCTCCAGTCTTGAATTCTGGCGATGTTGCAACTTCTTCGCATCATTGGATCCCAGGGGGGGAGCCAGAGGGGGGCGAGTGGAGACAGTGGCAGTTCTACTTCGGGGGGTCCCCTCGTCGCCACGGTGCGGCGCAGCTCGGGAAATTGGTGCGTCTGGGCCCCGGGAGGGGTCCGAGGACCGATTTTGAGCTACAGCTGCCTCTGCTCGCGATGCTCCGAGGTTCCATGCCTCCGGAATGAGATCCGAGTTGACGGGGTCGGAGGATCGCGCCGCATCGCCGATGCATCGGCCACACATCGGCGATGCATCGGCGCCGTTGGCGCCGTCGGCGTGGAGAAAATCGGGCTCCACATCCGGCCGCATCGCCGATGCATCGGCGATGCGGCCCGATTTTCCGACGCCGTCTACTGTCAGGAGCTTTGGCTTGGCGCACCGC